ATGGAACTCGACGATGAACAAGACGAACCCATGAAGAACCATGAACAACATAGTTCTGCTTCAGCGTCAGGCGAACAGCACCCAGCAACCCCCGCACCTACGGCCGATCTGGGAAGTTTTTTCGAAACAGAATTTGGAGTATCTTATGAGACTCTAGTGACAGTGAACTCCACAGGAAAGGTGCAGAGAGCAGAAGCATTCTTTCTCTTGTTCGAGTCCGAGATACTTCAGACTGAACTTATAATTCTCCAGGCCTATCTAAAGAAACATAACCCTGTTATATATACTTGGCAGCAAAAGGATGACTGGGAGAAATTTGCACGAGCTGTCCAAGTAGGTGTGGTTTTGGTATGTTTGCTTTCAACTGAGGTCGAGATGCACTGAAAGACCAACATTCAAGCAGGTTCACGAGAGCTGGGTCAACTTCAACGAGTTGTCTTTCTTCCAAAACCTCGTCAACAAGCCGATCAACTTCTGGAGCGTCTCTCTAGCCAAACCTCTCAAATACTCCGGTCACCGCTCCCACTTCCAGCGCATTTTCCCACATGGCGGGGCTATATTGGTGACGGAAGACATAATGCTCCAGGATCCGAAAGCAACCATGGCGATACTGGCGTGGTTTGCTGACTTCATCAAGAAGAAGTACCCAGGTTATTGGAAGATCATGTTCAGGCCCGCTATCCTGGACTGGATCTTGCAACAATCAGAAAGTGCAGACGAATCAGCACGAGGAATGTACGTTATGACCCTTCAGACCCAACCGAAATTTTAGTATCTCTAACCGAAGACTCCATCTTCAGATGGCCTACAATGTACCGTTTAGTCCTAGAATGTTGCGGCGTTCCCGCAAACGACACCCCCATAGCCGAGTTATCATCCGGAGCCCATGACGACTACCTCGAAAGCAACGCCATATCCCCTCCCAGCCTACCGAATTATGGCACCCGCACCGAAGCAGACAATCCACACATCCCCAAAGGCCTGACTCAAGACCAACGCAATGCAGATCACCTTATTGAATTCTTTGCCGGCTGGGGTCTAGTCCATCGCCACCGATACCGACGTTTGATCGTCCTTACGCAAACAACACCCCTGGACCGATGGAAAGAATGGCAACACATCGACATTAAATTTGGCTCGAAGGATTTCATGAAATCACTCGGAATCAGCTATAAATACTACTGGTCAAAAGTCATTGCTGCTCCTTCCTCGTCTTCGGCACCGTCTTCTGCCTCTCTTACTTCTTCTAGACCAGGTACACCGTCTGAAACACGAGCCCCATCGGAGTCCTTCACGCCTCGAACGCCAAAGTCTCGGACTTCATCCATGTCAATGATCAGGGATCTGGATGGAGCTAGCTACTATGGTCGGGTACCTAGCGGAGTACCTTCTTATCCGAATCCATACAGATGAGCTTTCGTGAGATATGATCGCAAGAAAGACTGTGTGTAATGAGCGGCGGTGTTCCGACTTTTTCTTCTTCTTAAAAACTTCCCTATCAGATATTTCAGTTTCCACTTTCCTTTCTTATTTATCGATTTCTCTGTTTCCTATACCCAGTGGGCGTGAGTTCCTTGTTATGTTTGAGGGAGGTGGTGTGTCACTCGTCGATTGATAATTTGTGTAGTAACCGTTTCTGATTGTAAATGGAAAAACGGAAAGACTGTCCTGATCATAAATTGAACCCTGTATTTGAGCCAGTACTCCAGCTTATCTTTCATACAGACGATCAACATTAGAGAATGAAGCATGTAAATACTAGACCGGCCGATAAGTACTAGCAGCAGCAATAAGTACATAGTACGCAATAGAAGGTATCAAGACTGATATAAAACGCCCAAAACAACTAGCTTATATGAATAATCCATCCGACTAGTAATCGCCGAGTGAGGGTCAAAACAACAGGACCAATTGCCTGACTGCCGGCTTATGTCTCATGCGCGCTCTCTCCCGTTCCTATGTACAATGTCTCCACTAACAACATCCAACCCAAGCGAACGACACCTAAAACCCAGCTGTCTGCGTACGATACTCCCTGAAGCTCGAAATCGGGGGAAGTTCATCCGCCGGCTGCGTCTTCGCTTTCTTATCTTTACTCTTCTCCGCTTTCTCTCTCCGAACCTTCTCCTCCCACTTACTTTCTTCGGCGGCGATCATGGAATGGAAGCGTCCGCCTTGCCCGCGTGCTAGATAGATAGGTTTCTCGTTCCGCTCCGCGACGGATTCGGTGACCAGGACGAATTTGACGCTCGAACCGGGGGTTTCGAACATTGCGTCGCTGAGGATGGTCTCTAGTTCGGTGCGGAGGGCACGCGCGCCTGTGCCCATTGTGAAGGCGTTGGCGGCAATTTTGTGCAGGGCCGGAGTAGTGAAGCGGAGCTCGATGCCGGAGAGGCTGAAGAGGGTGGTGTATTGGGCTAGGAGGGAGTTGCGGGGTTCGGTGAGGATGCGCACGAGTAGAGGGGTGGTTAGGGTGGAGAGAGCGGCGGTGACGGGGACGCGGCCGACTAGTTCAGGGATGAAGCCGTAGTTTTGGAGGTCGGTGGGGTTGAGGAGGTCGAGGGCATTGAAGTAGGTTGGTTCGCTGTCGGGGGAGTTGGGAGAGGTGGCCGATGCGAAGAAGGGGAGGTGCTTTTTGTATAGGGCTTCTTCTTCGGATCCCGGGAGGATGGGGATTGGTTCGTTGTTGCCCGGTGCGTGATCGCGAGATCGATTGTTGGTGAGGGCTGAGCCGCGCACAGGTTGACCGAAGCCGATTGATCCGCGAGATATCCGGTCCATAATTACTTTGTGTAACCCGACGAAGGCGCCGGAGAAGATGAAGAGGATGTTGTCTGTGCGGACGTTGTAGACCTCGCCCTTCTGGGGCATGTTTCCGCCATTGGGGTTGAATGGAGAGTTCCCTAGCGGGTTATTGGAGGGAAATGTATTGGGGGAGTTGCCGACACGAGGTGCACTTCGTTCTTGTTTCGCTTGCACTTGCACCGTTGTGCCCTCGATGAGCTTGAGGAGGGCTTGTTGTACTCCTTCACCACTGACGTCCTTCCCGTGGCTGACCTTTGCTGCGGCAATTTTGTCCACTTCGTCCAGGACGATTATGCCGCGCTCCGCTTGTTCAACATCATAGTTCGCAGCGGCCAGAAGCCTGTGTACACATACTTCTGCATCCTCTCCGATGTAACCTGCCTGCGTAAACGGTGTGCAGTCCGAAATGCTGAATGGGACGGATAGTATCCTCGCTAGTGTCTTTGCCATAAGCGTCTTTCCAACGCCGGATGGTCCCAGTAGAAGGATGTTGGATTTCTCCAGTTGTAACTCCGACGAATCGTCAAGTCCAGGCTGCGCTGACGTAGGCAATGTACCTGCTTCGGGGGTTGTATTGACGGTTTGTTGCTGGCCTGGGAATTCGTCTGACTAGCTTAGCTTGGCTCAGGTGTTATGACAGGCAATGGAATGCGGATAACCTACCTTCGACCGGGTGATGCTCGATCGCCTCTCTGCGCGCACGTTTCGCTAGCAACTCCGCATTTTCCTCCTCGCGTCTCTGCAGCTCTTGTACCCGTTGATAGTGGTTGAATACCGCGACACTAAGTATCTTCTTTGCGCGGTCCTGGCCAACGACGAACTGGTCTAGGTACTGCTTCAACGTTCTGGGGGTCACCCGAGGGGCTCCGAAAGCCGGAGCTGACGCAAGTGGCCCTGTTGTTGGGAGATCCGGTTCATAACTCCCAGTCCACGGCTGGTTTGTAAAATCTGAGCGATCGAATTGGGACCAGGTAGGGAAAGTGGCTGACGAGCTGGTGAATCCACGGCCAACAGGGCGGATAAGCGGCTTCGGCGCATGCCGATAGCGGAAGGGAGAGTTGCGGTGCGCCCTGAGGAGGCCACGGGCCTGTACAGGCAACCGTAGCATGGCCAAGCGCAGTGATATCTGCAGGAGGAGAGGGCTATTGTGAGAATATGAGCAGGATCGAAGAAGAAGCTTGTGTGTAAGGGAGAAAGGGAGAAGGAAGGCTGAGGGCAGTCGAGGACCGTCACCTCCGATGGCAGCAGATAAGATGCAATACAATCAAATCAAACTAAATCGGGCGATAGCTTTCCCCGCAGCACGTGATGCTTATCGCCGACGGTATCCGCGGATGACGTGGTTGAGATGGGCTTGTCTGACACGATCAAGTAAGGTTTGAACGCAGATGGATCCGTCAGTGGAAGAAAACTGGAAGACGTGTTGAGCTTCGTGCTTTGTGTTTCTTGAGGTTGTGAAACTCAGGGCGGATGAGGACTCGTGTTTCGTCATCCGGGAGCTCCAAGTGCGACGAGCGGTGGCGGTCCCGATCGTCGCTCCCGTCAGTCCCAGGCACCGATTTCGCTATTGCGGATCTGTACCATTCTAGTCCAGTAAGGCATGTGGTCTTGATTTATGACCGTAATAAGTGCTACATGTGAGATTCTCAATAGAATAGTATAGATCTGTTTGGCATAAGTTGGGAAGAAATCCTCCATACTTCCCCATATTCCATTGTTTCATTTGAAAAGACGCAAGTCTGCCAGGAGGCATTGAGCTACTTATTGTACCGAACCTTCCTCTTGACCCAATGGCCTTGAATATGCTTACTTATATCCCTGTAAGCTTCGTCCACAGATAAATGTGTCAAGGTCGTATCGTACATTTAGCTTAGGCAACTAAACGATTCCGTACTTTTCCTGTCACTGGAAGTTTGTAGTCACGGCTGCCATTCTTCCAATTGAGGCGTCTATACTGGTTCAATCGCCTGCGGCGCCCCGTAAACATGGGAAAGTGATAATCATCAGGGCCTCGTACACGGTAGCACGGAGCCTCAACTGAGGGGGAACCAGTGGCAATTTGACTCTGCCACAGATTGTACTGAAAAACGGTTTGTTACAGCAACCGGCTGCAACTTGTGTCAACTGCCACCCAGATTGAAAGAAGGATGAGCGAGTTGCGCTCGAGACAATCCATATTCCAATATTTCGATGACCTAGCTGCTTGATTTGAAGGCAGGCTGCTGCTCCATGGTTTGAGATATAAAATTCCGCAGGGCCGCCCATCGATTGGAGACCGAGCCCTCATCCGTGTTGCTGTTGGAGTCGGCAGTGGTAGGCGCTGGTGCTTGCATGCTGGACATCTGCGCCATATTCTTCGCAAACCGATCGCGCTCCAGCCGTTCCAGCTTCTCTCGACGCTTCATAGCACCGGGTCTATGCTGCAGAGTTTTCTGCTTAATGATATTGACCTGTTTGCTAGGGTCGGCCACGTCGTCGTCGGCGTCCGGAAGCGCATCGGCCAACGAGTCCAAAGCAGCAAGTTTCTTGGAGGCACGCCGACGCTTTGTAGATTTCTGAGAGTTCTTTTCTATCCGAGACACAAAGCTGCTGTGCTTGATCAAGCGCTTGTCCTTTTTCGTGGTGCGGAATTCATCGTGGAGAAAGCTGGGCTTAGACGACGGAAGAGCGCCTTTCCCACTTGCGGGCTTCTTGACGGATCGAGTAGGAGCCTGTATTGAATAAGAAAAAAGCAGTGGTAAGTATACGTGCATGCATGATATCAACTAGGGGAAAGCTTACCATGATGGGGAGGGATGCGTTGGTTCTCCGTTCGGGGAACAAGACGAAAAAAGCCTTGCATGTGCTTCACGAGAACCGAATTTCTTCGTTGATTCCGATGGGGTAGCGCGGACTAATCCGGAAGTGAACTAGTCCCCAACCGAAGACCCGATAGTTAAGTTCTGTCTCTACTTTGAAATATGTGTGGCTCACCGCCCAGGTGACTATCTCATAGTACTGGGCCTCACCGACTTGGCCGAGTCTAATTATTGAACCATTGAACCTGAGGCAAATCAATCCCATCCCCTTCCCGGTCTAGTTCGCGGTCCCTGATGGCCGTCTTCAGTCAAAGATCACTCGCGCTTTGTCTCACGCCAGCCATTCGGGTTCCATCCTGTGCTACATTAAGGCTGACAAGAAATCCCAACAGTGGGACCAACAATTTAGTAGCAAGGCACTAGACCTGAACAGGCCGACCGTAGTCCAAGGCCACAGAAACTGGATCGTCATATTTCCATCAGAATCTTTCCCCCTGCTCCTGGTCCAGTTTTCTTGCGGGAGGCAAAGATCCACATTCACGGGTTCCGAACCCGCCTTTTTATCTTGCACTTGCCTGGCTCAGTGGCTCACTTACATCAGGGCACCACCACGCCGACGCCGGTTCGATAAGATTGCCTTCTCATTTGCGGCCTTGCATGTGGATGCTGTCTCCAGCGCGCCTTTTATCTCGCCGGACGTGCCCTTTTCCATCGAGGACTACTGTGCCTGTGACTCTACCTCGGCCCCCGACCGTCTATCAGCTCCTGCCTACCCCATTGAGTCGGGAATTTTCGCCGTGTCTATCACCTTCCACAGCATATAAGCCTCGAGGGCCCGTCGCAGTCCGCTACTACTCGCATAGCCCTTTCCATTTGTCGATCATCCCCGCCAATACCGAAGCAACAATGGGCTCTCTCGGACCGTACCAGCGCAAACACAAGATCACTGTGGTGGGCTCAGGAAACTGGTATGTGCAAGATGGCTTTTCGTCATGGTGCTAGTGCCAGGAAAGAGGAAAAGGGCTGACTTGGGTCATGTCTAGGGGATGCGCAATCGCCAAAATCGTCGCCGAAAATGCCGCCAGCAACCCCGCAATTTTCGAGGAGAAGGTTGAGATGTGGGTTTTTGAGGAGAAGGTGGAAATCTCCAAAACGTCCCGGCACTATGATCCCTCTTCACCGCTGTGCCAGGGCCCACAAAACTTGACGGATGTGATTAACCAGAAGCACGAGAACATCAAATACTTGCCTGGAATTACTCTCCCCTCCAATCTGCATGCTAATCCCTCGTTGGTTGACGCAGTCAAGGATAGTACCATCCTTGTCTTCAACCTGCCCCACCAGTTTATCATCAAGACCTGTGAGCAGATCAAGGGCAAGATCCTGCCCTATGCGCGGGGTATCTCCTGCATCAAGGGTGTTGATGTGAACGAAGAAGGTATTCATCTCTTCTCCGAGACCATTGGCAAGATTCTGGGTATCTACTGCGGTGCTCTATCTGGCGCAAACATCGCGAGCGAGGTCGCCCTGGAAAAATGGTCCGAGTCAAGCATCGCCTATGATCCCCCGCACATGGATTCCAAGGCGCCATCTCCCAATCGTTCCCCGTCTACTTCGACCGAGAATCTCGTTCAGTTTGAGCACAAGGATGTTTCCGGCCAACTATCGCAAGTAAAGCTGCAAGCGCTGCCGTCCGACTACCCCCCTGTGGACCACGCGGTCCTGAAGTCGCTCTTCCATCGCCCGTATTTCCATATCCGTGTGGTGAGTGATGTCGCAGGCGTGTCGCTTGGAGGCGCCCTTAAGAACGTAGTTGCTCTTGCTGCCGGCTGGGTCGACGGCATGGGCTGGGGTGACAATGCCAAGGCTGCCATCATGCGGGTTGGCCTTCTCGAGATGGTCAAGTTTGGTGAAAAGTTCTTCGGGGCCACCATCAATACTCGAACCTTCACCGAGGAGAGTGCAGGTGTTGCCGATCTGATTACTAGCTGCAGCGGTGGCCGGAACTTCCGCTGCGCAAAACTCAGCATTGAGAGAAAGCAGTCGATCGAGAAAGTCGAGGAGACGGAACTCAACGGCCAGAAGCTCCAGGGTACTTTGACTGCGGTTGAGGTAAACAACTTCCTGAAGAAGCAGGGCCTTGAGGAGGAGTTTCCCTTGCTTACGGCTGTGTACCGTGAGTAACCCCGTTCTTTTGCCCTTTATCTCATCGATGTACTGACCATAAAATAGGTGTTCTCGAGGGCAGTATGTCCGTTGAAGATATTCCTTCTTACATTGAGCGGTAAATTGGACCTGTTGATCCTCTCCTTTGGTTTATGTTCGGGTTGTTAATTTAGGGAAATCTGTTCCTTTTGTGTCTTAACAGAAAGCCGGAGTCTATCTCTTACGTTGAAACGGGGCGGGTGACCAGCAGTGGAACCAGCCAGGCAGTTTTGAGCGCCAGGTTGTGAACGGGGGCAGGATCCATGCATTAACCCCCTCTTTTGTGTTTTCCCCATCCTTGTCACTTTCCTTCCTTTCTTTCCACCAACTTGTCTATCTTTATCACCATCTATCTTTTTGGGGGAAGCGTTTGTTGGTAGGTATACTTTGTCGAGATTTTCTCATGCACATAGACCGATGACTATAGACCGCAATGACACCGGAATGTCTGAATCTTCTTCATTTCTATCACATCCATGCCAGTAATGAGCTGTACATTTGCCAGATCATCAATGGCCTGACCGGGGCTATGAGGGGAGGCCAACAAGAAAAAAGAGGAGGCGTGCGGAGGCCCGTGTTCTCGCCCGGGCCGTTCCAGCCCGCCTTCTTTCATGATGTCAGTGATCCCGCGGGGTTGCCCTGGACCTCCCAGGAACAGGAAACCCTGGTCGGCCTGGCTTCTCGTCCAGTTGTTCTTTTTCTCATAAATAGCCAGCGCCCTCTGTGCCGTGGCTACACAGTGTCGTTTCCAGGAGGACATCCTGCCTTCATATCCATTCATCTCCGTTCCTTGGTAAGTCTGGCCGGCGATTCACCGAGAGTAGCGCCGCTAGACTCACCATTGTCACGAACTCTCGTCGAAGCTCTTTCCGAAGCTCCTCTACTTGTGACAGATAGTCTTATTCGAGTTCACAATGTCCTCTCCACAGCAGGTTTATCTGCTGCCTCTGAAGGATGATGGATCGCCCGATGTTCCTGGAGGATACCTCTACCTCCCTTCTCCTACGGACCCGCCATATTTGCTTCGCTTTGTCATTGAAGGCAGCAGCTCAATCTGCAGAGAGGGTGTTTTATGGGTCAACATCCCCGAGAAGGGTAAATCTTTCAATCGGTCTGCTTTTCGGAGCTTTAGGTAAGTGAAATGAATGGTTACAAGTTTATCAACATTTGACCTTTTCGATATAACTAGACTATCCCCGGATTTCAACAAGAACATCCAGATCGATGTCCCCATCACCTCTGCTGGTTCTTTCGCCTTCTATGTGACCTTCTCCCCGCTTCCTGAGTTCTCTGTTCTATCAACACCCACCCCAGAGCCAACAAGGACCCCAACCCACTACATCGATGTCTCGCCCAAGTTGACTCTTCGCGGTCAAGATCTTCCACTCAATGCTCTCTCTATATACTCTGTGATCTCTAAGTTCATGGGAAAGTACCCCAAGGACTGGGACAAGCACCTCAACGGCATCAGCCAACGTAATTACAATATGGTTCATTTCACGCCCCTGATGAAGCGCGGAGCTTCGAACTCACCTTATAGCATCTTTGATCAGCTGCATTTTGATGACACCGTGTTTCCCAATGGTGAAGACGATGTTGCGCGTCTGGTTTCTAAGATGGAGAATGAATATGGGCTTTTGTCGCTTACGGACGTTGTATGGAACCACACTGCCCATAACAGCAAATGGTTGGAGGAACATCCAGAAGCTGGTTACAGTGTCGAAACTGCCCCATGGCTTGAGGCAGCGCTGGAGCTGGACACTGCACTGCTGAAATTCGGTCAAGAACTCTCCACTCTTGGGCTGCCCACCGAGTTTCAAACTGTGGACGAATTGATAAAAGTCATGAATGCTATGCGGGACAAAGTCATTTCTGGAATACGACTGTGGGAATTCTATGCCATTGATGTGAAGACCGACACACAGAGAATACTCAATCAATGGAAAACATCCAAAGACCTTAATCTAACAGACAAGAAATGGGCGCAACTCAATCTTTCAGACTACAAGAACTGGACTTTGAAGCAGCAAGCGACTTTCATTCGAGACCACGCTATACCCACCTCGAAGCAGGTCTTGGGGCGGTTCAGCAGAGCTGTTGATTTGCAATTTGGGGCAGCCATACTGACAGCCCTTTTTGGCCCGCACAATCATTCGACATCTGACACTAGTGCAGTCGGGGCGAGTCTGTCCAAAATACTCGACGAGGTCAATCTTCCCTTCTATGAGGAATACGATGGAGACGTCTCGGAGATTATGAATCAAGTCTTTAACCGGATCAAGTATCTAAGGATTGACGACCATGGTCCCAAGCTCGGCGCCGTCACGGCACAAAGCCCTTTGATTGAAACGTACTTCACGAGGCTGCCTCTGAACGATGTTACCAAGAAGCACAAGAAAGAGGCGCTGGCTCTGGTGAACAACGGCTGGATATGGAACGCTGATGCTCTGAGGGACAATGCGGGGCCTGACTCTAGGGCTTACCTGCGACGTGAAGTAATCGTTTGGGGCGATTGCGTGAAGCTGAGATACGGCAGTCGTCGTGACGATAATCCTTTCCTCTGGGATTTCATGACAGACTATACTCGTCTTATGGCCAAATATTTCTCAGGATTTCGCATCGACAATTGCCATTCAACACCACTGGTGGTTGCCGAGTACCTGCTAGACGAGGCACGCAAAGTTCGACCCAACCTGACCGTTTTCGCGGAACTATTCACTGGCTCGGAGGAAGCTGACTATATATTTGTCAAACGTCTCGGCATAAATGCGCTCATCCGTGAAGCCATGCAGGCCTGGAGTACAGGAGAACTGAGCCGTCTTGTTCACCGTCATGGCGGACGTCCGATTGGTAGTTTCGATCTTGACTTGCCTTCTTCAGGTAGTAGTCATGCAATCGCTTCTTCTGGTCTTGACTCCGGCAAAGAGAAAGTTGCTCATATTCGACCTACACCAGTTCAAGCCTTATTCATGGATTGCACCCATGACAACGAGATGCCTGCGCAGAAGAGAACCGCAAAAGATACCTTAGCAAATGGCGCTCTGGTGGCCATGTGTGCCTCAGCCATTGGCAGCGTCATCGGCTACGATGAAGTATATCCCCAGCTTGTCGATCTCGTTCATGAACATCGGCTATACTTCTCTGAATTTTCAGAAGCCCCCGAGACTGGGTTAAACTCTCTTGAGGGAGGAATAGGAGGCATCAAAAAGCTACTCAATGACCTTCATACCAGAATGGGTGTTGAAGGATATGATGAAACGCACATTCATCATGACGGCGAGTATATCACAGTGCACAGGGTGCATCCTAGAACACGGAAGGGTGTTTTCTTGATTGCACATACAGCCTTTCCTGGTCAAGACGGAAAATCTGTTCTGGCGCCCACACATCTTGTCGGTACTCATGTCAAGCATATCGGGACGTGGCTCTTGGAAGTTGATGCAAGCCAAGCTACTAAGGAGCGGATACAAGCAGACAAATCCTATCTACGAGGCCTGCCAAGCCAAGTCAAAACGTTTGAAGGTACCAAGATCGAGGAGTCTGGCAAAGATACCATCATATCCGTTTTGGATTCTTTTGTTGCCGGGTCTATTGCCTTGTTTGAGACATCGATGCCGAGTGTTGAACATGCAAGTGGACTGGACAATCATATCACCGAAGGCGTGGATCATGCCTTCTCGGATCTCAGCTTAGTTGATCTGAACTTCGCGCTTTACCGCTGCGAAGCAGAGGAGAGAGACTCGAGTAAGGGCGAGGACGGGGTTTACGACATCCCCGGCCATGGGCCTTTGGTCTATGCCGGTCTACAGGGGTGGTGGAGCGTGCTTGAGAACATCATTAAATACAACGAACTCGGCCACCCACTGTGTGATCACTTGCGAAATGGACAGTGGGCTCTGGACTATATTGTGGCTCGCCTGGAGAAGCTGGGCCACACGGACGAACACACTGCCCTTGGCAGGCCAGCTGCATGGCTTCAGGAAAAGTTTCAAGCCGTCCGTCAGCTGCCAAGTTTCCTTTTGCCCCGGTACTTTGCAATAATCGTTCAGGTTGCCTACAATGCTGCCTGGAAGCGAGGAATTCAACTTCTGGGACCGCACATACAGAAGGGGCAAGAATTCATTCATCAATTAGGTATGGTGAGTGTCCAACAAACTGGATATGTGAATTCAGCGTCTTTGTGGCCCACGAAGAAGGTACCCAGTCTTGCAGCTGGCCTACCACATTTCGCGGTAGACTGGGCAAGGTGTTGGGGTCGCGACGTGTTCATTTCACTGAGAGGCCTCCTTCTGTGCACAAGTCGCTTTGAGGATGCCAAAGAGCATATAACTGCATTTGCGAGTGTGTTGAAGCATGGCATGATCCCGAATCTTTTGAGCAGTGGGAAGCTCCCGCGCTACAATTCTCGGGATTCTGTTTGGTTCTTCCTGCAATCCATCCAGGATTACACCAAAATGGCACCAGATGGTTTGAGGCTTCTAGATCATAAGGTTCCCAGGCGTTTTCTACCATACGATGATGTATGGTTCCCGTATGATGACCCTAGGGCCTACTCGCAACATTCGACGATATCCGAAATAATTCAGGAGGTCTTCCAGCGACATGCACAAGGACTCTCCTTCCGGGAATACAACGCGGGACCCGACCTTGACATGCAAATGACACAGGATGGTTTTCAGATTGATGTCAAAGTCGACTGGGAAACTGGACTGATATTCGGTGGCAGTCAATATAATTGCGGGACATGGCAGGACAAGATGGGTGAGAGCGCGAAAGCTGGTAACAAAGGCGTACCTGGTACGCCACGTGATGGGGCAGCCATTGAGATAACCGGGCTAGTGTACAGCGCCTTGACCTGGGTTGCTGAACTGCACGAGCAAGGCCTTTACAAACATGATGGAGTCGACATTGGCGATGGGGAAACCATTTCTTTCAAGGAGTGGGCGTCAAAAATTCGGGCCAACTTCGAGCGCTGCTACTATGTTCCTCTACAGCCAAAGGACGATAGCCAGTACGACATCGACGCAAAAATCATCAATAGACGGGGAATCTACAAGGATCTGTACAGGTCTGGTAAGCCATACGAGGATTACCAGCTTCGTTCCAATTTCCCAATAGCCATGACCGTCGCTCCAGACCTGTTCACTTCATCCAAAGCACTCGCAGCTCTCGCTCTTGCCGACGAGGTTCTGGTAGGGCCGGTAGGAATGGCCACCCTTGACCCTTCCGATCTCAATTACCGCCCTAACTACAATAACTCGGAGGACTCGACCGATTTTGCAACTGCTAAAGGCAGAAATTACCACCAAGGTCCTGAGTGGGTTTGGCAGCGTGGGTACTTCCTCCGCGCCTTTTTGCACTTCGACCTTGCCCGCAGGACGACGCCGGCAGAACGGACAGAGACTTACCAACAGATTACTCGACGTCTGGAGGGTTGCAAACGGGCTTTGAGGGAAAGTCCATGGAAGGGCCTTACCGAACTAACGAATAAGAATGGTGCACACTGTGCAGACTCCGTATGTCTCGAATACCTTTCTTTGCTCTCTACTATTTCTGTGTCGTGTCGATCAATCTTGGCTAACCTTATATCTTATAGTCCCCGACCCAAGCATGGTCAGCTGGATGTCTGCTTGACTTGTATTATGATGCATCACGGCATTCACAGAACTAGAGAATGTATTGTTCATATCATTTCCATCTGGCACTGCTCAACCTAATCATGAGTTCGGAGTACATGTTTGTCGAATCTTAGATAATAGAAATAGCTTCATTGTGCTGGCCTGATCCTTGAATCGTATGACGCCGGGCCGTCTGTAGTTGCGGCAAGCGGCAAGCGGCAAGCGGCATAAAAAACGGTCGCTGAATAAGCCACGTGCACAACTCATCGCCAACTAGAACGAGACGAGACTAGTACTTTTGAGTTTGGGTTCGTCAACATATGTTTTAGCAAACGATGCCCGACTCGGGTCCAATTTGCCGTTCCTAGCGCGAAGATTGCGGTGTAGAGTGTTTGTATCGGTGTCGCCTGACTTCTCCAGTTCTGCTTTTCGCGTCCAAGCAACATCCTCCAGGTTGCGAGCCCGTCTACAATCTAAAGCGTGACCCAGGCCCCTGACGTCAGTTGTTTTTGACCTACGCATCCTCCCGAGCACAAACGTTCCCGAATGCATTAACAAAGCTGAACATCATCCACTACATCCCCGGCGCAGAATATCTGCTTTTGGAGCGTCATGTCTCTCACGGAATCCGCCGCGGCAGCCATGCTGACCGCTGCGGTCGTGGTAGACAGTCCCATTGACGTGCATGAGCCTCGTTGGGATGACCAGACGAGGGGCCGCGATTTGTACACACAACTAGTGATCAGTTTACTCGTCGGGCTCAGCGCCTTTTTCTCCTTCTGTGTAAGTCTTTGCAGATTGCAAGAATGAATGGAATCCTCTAACAGCTCGCGTCTCTCATAGGTTCTACGACCGAAATGGACCGAACTATACGCCGCTCGGCGACGACAACGCTGCGCAGCTTCATACTTGCCCGAACTACCCGATAGTTTCTTTGGCTGGATACCTGTACTATATCGGATCACTGATGAGCAGGTGCTGGAGTCTGCAGGCTTGGATGCTTTCGTTGTAAGTTCTGTCTTTCGCCTCGACTACGGGCTAGATGTCAGAATCGGCCTTGTCTGACACGAAGTTGTTATCACAGTTCCTCACTTTCCTGAAATTCGCCATTCGATTCCTCTCCGCTATCTTCTTCTTCGCCTTGGTTATCATTCTACCGACACACTACAAGAATACCGGTAAATCGGGGGTTCCTGGTTGGGATGACGATGATGACGAGACATTCGATGGAGACAAAGACAAGAAGAAGATCATATCGGATCCGAACTACTTGTGGATGTATGTCATTTTTACATACATTTTCACTGGGCTTGCTGTCTACATGCTCATCCAAGAGACCAATAAGGTTATCCGCACGAGGCAAAAATACCTTGGAAGCCAGACCAGTACGACCGATCGGACTATTCGCTTGTCTGGGATCCCTCCGGATTTGGGGACCGAGGAGAAGATCAAGGATTTCATGGAAGGCCTCAAAGTGGGTAAGGTCGAAAGTGTCACACTGTGTCGGGATTGGCGCGAATTAGACCACCTGATCGACGAGCGACTGAAACTTCTGCGAAATCTCGAGCGGGCTTGGACTAGGCACCTGGGCTACAAAAGGGTTAAGGCAAGTCCGAATGCACTGACCATGATGCACCAGCAGCCGCGTGGCTCTAGTATTGTCTCGGATGGAGAGAGTGAGCGAATCCAGCTTCTCTCTGAAGGAGGACGCGATCATGTTACGGACTATGCACACAAGCGGCCAACAGTGCGCATCTGGTATGGGCCTTTCAAGCTACGCTATAAGAACATCGATGCGATCGATTACTATGAAGAAAAGCTACGTCGTCTCGACGAGAAGATCCAGGTTGCCCGCCAAAAGGAATATCCGCCTACTGAGGTCGCCTTCGTCACGATGGAGTCGATTGCCGCGTCTCAGATGGTTGTACAAGCCATACTTGATCCTCACCCCATGCAACTGCTCGCTAGACTGGCACCAGCACCAGCTGATGTCGTGTGGAAAAACACCTACCTCCCGCGCTCGAGGCGGATGATGCAATCCTGGTTCATCACTGTGGTCATTGGCTTCCTGACTGTATTCTGGTCGGTGCTTTTGATTCCCGTTGCCTATCTGCTTGAGTACGAGACTCTCCACAAGGTGTTCCCTCAGTTGGCCGACGCTCTTGCTCGGAACCCGCTTGCCAAGTCCCTTGTGCAGACTGGTCTGCCGACCTTGGTCCTCTCGCTGTTGACTGTCGCTGTACCTTACTTGTATAACTGTATGATATATCCAAACGTTACTTTATGTCTAATATCAGCGCTAACCTGATCACAGGGCTCTCGAACCAGCAAGGCATGATGTCCCGAGGTGACATTGAGCTGTCAGTCATATCGAAGACCTTCTTCTTCTCTTTCTTCAACCTCTTCCTTGTCTTCACGGTGTTCGGAACTGCGACGACATTCTACGGGTTCTGGGAGAATCTGCGAGACGCCTTCAAAGATGCTACGACCATAGCCTTTGCCTTGGCCAAGACTCTGGAAAACTTTGCTCCATTTTACATTAACTTCCTATGTCTTCAAGGAATAGGATTGTTCCCGTTCCGACTCCTAGAGTTCGGAAGTGTTGCCATGTATCCCATCAACTTTCTGGCCGCTAAGACACCTCGGGATTATGCTGAGTTATCCACACCCCCTACATTCAGTTACGGGTATTCCATTCCGCAGACGGTTCTGAGCCTTATCATCTGTGTTGTATACAGCGTGTTTCCTAGCTCATGGTTGATATGCCTATTCGGGTTGATTTATTTCACCATCGGCAAGTTTATCTACAAGTACCAGCTTCTGTACGCGATGGATCATCAGCAGCATTCGACGGGACGCGCATGGCCGATGATCTGCAGTCGAATTCTGATGGGCTTGATTGTTTTCCAGCTCGCGATGATCGGCGTGCTTGCCTTACGCCGGGCTATTACGCGCTCTTTGCTTATTGTGCCTCTCCTGATGGCAACCGTATGGTTCAGCTACTTCTTTGCACGGACCTACGAGCCTCTTATGAAGTTCATCGCTCTAAAGAGCATTGACCGCGAGCGGCCTGGTGGGGGGGACATCTCCCCGTCACCGTCTTCGACCTTCTCTCCTCCATCCGGCCTCGACCGCGATTCGTTTCCGATCCGCATCGGTGGACAAGAACTTGGATTGCGGCTGAGAAAGTATGTCAACCCAAGCCTGATCCTGCCTCTCCACGATGCATGGCTTCCGGGACGTACGATGGTTCCGGAACTCCAGGGAGAACTGGAGCATCGCAATTCCGAAAACAACGCGGCCGATGAGTCCGTCTGAGACTGTATCATAAGCGCCGAAGTTGACTGATTCCAAAACATCTCAGTCGATCGATCACTACCACTGCCTATATATATGTATTACTTTCTAATCACCCCCTTGTTGTATGAGTTGCTTTCCCCCGCCATGATCTACGATGCTATGCCTTTGATGTCATAGATGGCCATATACGCCTGATAGTCTCACACCCTCGTGGTGAGACGGTCAATTTTACGCGATCAGATTTAGATGTTACTCATCTTTGTTCATAATGGTTTCCTTATCTCTCGTTTAGTGATACCAGAAGCCTTCCTATAGGAGGTTTCATTCGACGCATTGATGCCAATATAGCTTGCATGTACTATCAGTTTATGTACTCTAGGGAGAATTCCCGATGCTCTTGTCGATCTTTACAATTAATGAACCTCGTAGGCCGGGGCCTTTCTGATCCATGCAACTTCCGTATCAGGTTAAAAGCTCCTCATGGGCTATATGACAGCACCAGTTTCCTGCGTCGTGTTCATGAGAGATATCCCCGGCTATTTCCTTCTAAAAAGTGGCACCAGTGTCGAGTATAGGAAGTGGACATAGTCCCGTGACATTATTGCGCAAAATCTTGACCGGCCTCCATAGAGTTGTCACTATCTCTCCCGAGCATACCATCTACATCACTGCATCTTACCCTCAACAACAAAACAGGGAAAAGCAAGATCCCTGAAACAGCGCAAATCATCAGCGAGGTTTCAATCGATGGGTTTTCGGGTATACTGTACAAGTCAATTAATTTGGTTACTTGATGCTCTCGCAAGCTGATATAGTCCTCTCAAGTTACGTATTCTATTATCCTCATCACAGTGTATATGTCTCTAGGGCACGCAGACCAGGGCTCATGAACATTTTCAATGCTTAAAACCTTCTGTCAGGTCATTCTCTGGTAACCCAATGACATAAGCCGAATATCTGTCCTATAGTATATATAAAGTCCCACAATACTATCCGTACATAACATGAGCCACGGAATTTCACCGAGATCTTTTAAAGAGAAACGTGTACTAGAGTCCGAAAGAAGTAGAATAGAACATGGAATAGACATCACTTTTTCATCTCAACCAAGAACAAGCAAGATAAATAAATCAACAACCGCTAGAAGAAATAAATCCGACCCGTTAATCAACCCATGCGTCGAGAGAACAAAGATGGTATGGCTGAGCATAACGTGTTGAACCCCATATAGGAACAAGTTTTAACAGCAATGCAGAAAGAGGAAAGAGAAGAAAAGAGACATGTCCCAACTGGTGACTGGTTTATTGGGAGTTGCCGTTGCCATTGACAGCAAGCTTCTCCCGACGGGTGCGCACAGCCTGTGCCAGGTTCTCCAGAACAAGTTCCGTGTCTTCCCAGTGGATGCAGGCGTCGGTGATACTGACACCGTACTTGAGGCCGGCCTTGCCCTCGGGAGGGACCTTCTGGTTGCCTGTTGTGGTGATGTTAGTTGGATGGTAATATACAAAGTGTAGGGATGGGGGGGTGGAGCATACCCTCGTTGATGTTGCTCTCAATCATGACACCCATGATGGCGGTCTCTCCAGCAGCAATCTGCTCGGCCAGAACAGCAGCCACCTTAGGCTGGTTCTTGTGGTCCTTCTGAGAGTTGCCGTGGCTGCAGTCGACCATAAGGCGGGGAGGCATGCCCTTGGCGATCAGCTTGGCCTTGGCCTCGGCGATGCTCTGAGCATCGAAGTTGGGGCCCTTCTTGCCACCACGGAGAATGACGAAGCAGTCGGGGTTGCCCACGGTGCCGACGATCGCAGCGACACCGGGCTTGGTGACGGACAGGAAGTGGTGGGGGTGCTTGACGGAGCCGATAGCATCGACAGCGACGTCCAGGGAGCCGTCGGTGCCGTTCTTGAAACCAACGGGGAAGGACAGACCCGAAGCCAGCTCACGGTGGACCTGGGACTCGGTGGTGCGAGCACCAACGGCGCCGACGGAGAGACAGTCGGCCAGGAACTGGGGGGAGATGGTATCCAACATCTCACTGGCGATGGGCATACCCTTGTTGGTCAGGTCGACGAAGAGTTGACGGGAGGTGCGCAGGCCCTTGTTGATCTTGAAGCTGTTGTCAATGTCGGGGTCGTTGATGAGACCCTTCCAGCCAACGGTGGTACGGGGCTTCTCGAGGTAGGAGCGCATGACAATCAGCAGCTCATCCTTGTACTTCTCCTTCATCTTCATGAGGCGATCGCAGTATTCGAGGGCCATTTCGGGGTCGTGGATGGAGCAAGGGCCGATGACAACCAGCAAACGGCGACGGTCGGTGTCTGTGCCTTGGACGACAGCAATAGCCTCCTCACGACCTTCCATGACCGTTTGCCGGGACTTCTCCGTCATGGCGATTTCATGTTGAAGGAGGTTGGGGGGTGTGAGAGGGTTGTATCCACGGACTGTAGAGGAACAGAGAGACCGAGGGTTAACGAGGGACGGAAATTTGCAAGAGGTGAGTCACGGGCGCACTTACTTCTGGAATCCTCGAGGGAGCATCTGTCCCCGACATTAGGGTTTTCAATGAAGAACTGGAGGTAGTATGAGTATTAATATTGCCATTGAGGAGGTTGGAATGCTGGAAAAAGCAAAGACGTACCGACATGGTGATGCGGCGGGGTAGCAAGTGGACAGACGGAGGGGCAGATGAGAGAAGGAGAGGCGATAAAGTCGCAGCTTAGATAGGTAGATAGTATGCCCGACGGGAAGGTATGGATGAGTAAGTCAAAGGGAAGATCAAGATCGGTTCAGTGGATCGATGAGAGTTTAATAGAATAGTAGTAGATTTGATTGATATCTTGAAAATTCGAGATTACAACCGGGTGGAATCACAACGAATATATAGGAAAGATGTATGAGAGAAGAATCACTGGAATTGTCTCCTTGCAGAGTCTCTCAAAAAGCAAAAGCCAGAAAAAAAAGTACTATTTCTTTGGCAGTGTCGAGTCATTCCTGCCTCATTGGGTAATCGCCACGTGATTTTCCGGTGAGCGGACGAATGGGGCGAGGTCCAAAAAAGCGCCTCGCCCGCGGTATCGCCTGCCATTGGCTTACTTTGCCATTCGTCTCTCATTCCTTCTCTTCCTGCTCGGAGCAGCATGAATGGATACTCCGTAGTCCGTCATCCGCTATCCCGTACCACATGCCCGGGGCATGGTCCGGCGTTGGATGGTCAGTCAGCCTTAGCAATAGATGACACCCCTGGAGCTGCCATTACGACCTGAAATGGGGGCGGAAACTTTGTATATAGTTTCGGATCATCCTGGCACGGAGGCTACGTTGGCACTAATCTCTCTCTGGATCTGGATTTCGCCCCTTGAGTGTTGCAGAATACGAAATCATGCAGATACGATTAGCCGTGGCTGTAAGAAATAAGTACAGAGCCATCGCCCGAGAAAGATGAGACAAACTTCAGTTACTCTGTATACTATCCGGATCCGAATCAGCCCGGACCGGAAACCTCGTCATCGAAGTCGGAGCATCAAAAGCTGAAATGATGAGATGATGAGGCCAAGCTTCAGTTCATTTTCTGATCTGCATGCGATCCTGAAGCTGCTTCTCGTCCCGCTCTAGACGCTGCATCAACTCCTGGCATACATCGGTATGGTGTTCGCGAATGGAGTTCATCTGTTGCTGGCACAGTCTTATTCGTTCTTCTTGGGCTTTGAATAGCTGATCCAGCACCCGGTGGCAATCTCGCCGATACATCTCCAGAACTTCGCTGATGGTCTTTTTCTCGCTCTCAATCTCTTGTATTATATGCTTGCGGCCAACTCAGTAAGAATATTTGGAATCCCCATGGGATGTCACCTACCTCGCTCGTCGCAAGAAGCATGCCTTGCGCTCTTTTGTGAAGCGCCTGCAGGGAGGTCTGCCAGCTGGTGTGCTCCAGGACACCATCTGCGATATTATCCGACTTGGGCAAACTCTGCGCCGATGATTGGCTTGGAACTATTGTCGCCTGAGGTAGGGAGTTGCATGTCGCATGAGGCTTGTTATCGCATTCCAATGTCAAATGTGCATCAGGACTTGATCGTGCGGGATTTCTAAGCGGGGTGTTGCTTGATGTAGGTTTACCTGCACATGCCATTAGACGATCTTGGAAAGTCAGTACTTCCTTCGCTCTGTTCGTGCAGGTCCCGGAATGCTTTGATCCTAGAATTACGCTTCGCTCGCACGAAGCAGATAGATCGTCATCTTGCGCACTAAATTCCCCATCTCTCAGGATCCCCCGAACGTGCTCGCTGGTGGAGGACCTGTATTTCATGTCTGACATTTGTGGAAACATTTCGTCCACGCCATTCCTATCAACAAGGCATTCACTTTCGATGTGGAACAGAAGGCGGGGGCTTCCATCAGAATCAACGATGGTTGATCTGGGGGTGATTTTCAATCGCTTCGTGGGATACAAGTGATCTTTGCGAACAAGCCGCTTGGATTCTTCCATGATAGCATTTTCCGAGGCTTGGTCCCTTGCAGGTGAGTCATCTCGCATGTCGTCCGAACTGAACGCAGCTATCCTTCTCTTTTCTGGCCTAGTCCGCGGGCTTCTTTTGCCCTCAGATGTGTTTTCATGCATGTCAGAACTGCAAGTGCTCTGCGCGAACCCGGGGCTTTCAATGCACACTTCAAAGGGAACTTCTTCATCGGAACGACTCTCCTCTGCACATAATGGACTTGATCCAGCGGAGCGACCTGATTGAGACACATTCATTTGCTCCTCGTTGTCGATCTTGACAGAACTGCTCCTGCTCATGTGGCTTACAACGGAACCTTCATAAACGTCATCTCCAAACCTGCCCGTGACTTGATCTCTTGGTGTTTCTATGTCAGACTCCGTAAGCTCGAACTTCTCCTGTACACCACACTCGCCCACGGAAGCATATAATGTGTCTGACAAAACGAGCCCGTTTCCGTTTCTGAGCTGATTTTGGATCTGTATATGGTTTAAGCTGTTTTCCTCATGCTCGCCGGTGCCTGATGAAGGGTCGCCTTGCTGGAAAGCTGCAGACAGCTTGTTCCCAACTGCCCGGCCCCTGCCCTGAAGTCCTTGTGGGGTCGGATGGCTCTCTGGAGAATTCATCTGGTGGTTGTAATCACGCATCTCACTTGTAGATAGCTGATGCTGGTGACCTAAACAACTTTCTCTTTTCCTAGAGGCTTGAATTCGAGGTGATCTAGTGCGGTTCTCTTCGTGTTGTGGTGTAGCAGAGTCATATCTGATGAAATCATTATCTGGGTTGAACTCGGCACATTTGGCCGTGGCACCTGCTCCATTTCTCTCCTCGTCGATGCCTCCAGGGCGGCTGTTGCTGGAACAAAGTATTAGCTTCCCTATGTCATCATCTGATCCTAGTATGTGCTGTGGCTTTCGGTTGTGGTTGTCGGCATCTTCTGCAAATGGTAACGCTGCTGTCGATTTATTGGTAATGTTTCTGATCTTTTTTGGAGGACGAGATGATTTATTCTTGCGCTTTGTGGCTAGCTTCCTTCCTTTGGCTGCTCTCTTTTTGCCCGGCATTGCCAAACGACTGCCGGTAAGAGACGTCTCACCAGGCAAGGGGGATGAGATTGAAGTTACGTCCGCATCTTTAAGTGGAAGTCTCACTTCATTATCGCTAGGCCGGAGATCCTCGTCCCAGTCAACAGCAGCTTTGGAGCTGGCTGTATATACCTTCTGTTTGGGATGTCGCGTATAAATGACCATAGACTCTTGAATATTAGATTGATGGTTTTTTCCTCTATTCCCACTCCGCAAGCGACCTGTTCTTCTTCTTTCAGTATCTGATTTTGGTGCAAATTTGCCGTTTGGTTTCCCCGGTACTCTTGTCAGTGATGGGTTTGATGTTGGTACGGGAGGTTCACCCGCGTAATGTGCCGGCTGATAATCCCGAGAGCTGTTACGCTCTGAACGAACACGTTCCAGGTTTTCATTCTTAGTATTCCCTTCCTCGAGCACTTCTGAATGTTTATCCAGCACTAGCCGAGACTTTTGTATCGAGACGAAACCTGTGCAGGGTCCCTCCTGCCCCTGTATATTGTTGGGTGGTATTCCAGAAGATTTCCTTGCGACTTCATCGCCTGTATCCAGTTCCATCACCATTGAAGAAGACCTCCGGAATACACTACCTGTATCTACAGAGGTTCGGTCATTCCGACAGAACTCCTCGATGGCCATTCGCAAATCACAAGGATCTTCATCGGACAATATGCTCAAGATCTGGTCCCCGAAGCATAGGCGTTTGCCGCTTTTCACGATTAGTCTATGCTGAGAAAGGTCTACTATTAGACGATATGTCTTAGTTTTGTCCGTAACCGTGCGCACTGGTAGACAAATACTCTGAGTGTAGACGTCAACGTATTCTAGGCACATTCTCGCTGTGTCCTGTCGATAGCTCATGAACGTCAAGCATCCATCACCGATCATGGCAAGAACAATTCCTTCAATCAGGCGCGTCGTGTCGATGCCTATTGCTTGAAGTAGAAAGCATCGTCGAAGCTGGGACGTCGTACTTAAGTCTATCGATTTCGATGGCATTGCCGCATCTGATAGGACAACCGTATCGAATAAGATGTGGAAGTGCTGCAGCGGATCATCTTCATATGACGGCATAGTATTAAAGAACCTGACTCTATCCGTGCTATTGTCTGGCGGCCAGAGAACTTCGTCGCTCACTCCCAAGTTATGTAACGCATGAATCATGATTGCTGCGAGCAGTTTCAAGGCATAGTTGCCATTGAGTATGATATACGAGAGTCTGGTCAGCACTTCGCGTTAGCACAAACAATATCGCTCACATCGAATAAATATATAGTACCGTGACATGTCCACATCTTGGGATTTTATAAGGGAAGCATCATCATTATGCTCTGGCTCCGAGAGTATCTCCAGAAATAATTTGCCGGCCTGTTCACCATGAGAATCGGTATAACCACATATTGTCTTTATCTCACCAATTTCCGTAGCCAAGTAGCCTGCCCTTCGGTGGAGTATAGTAAGTACAGTTTGCTCAGTATCCTTTTTTGAAGCAAGCGGGATCTGTCCCCAATCCTTGGGCTTGCTACTTGGTATACCATATGGCCCGAGTCCTTCATGTATTGCGGTTCATCCTATGGAAAGCATTAGAGAGCCAAGACGTGCAAGTATAGGTATACAGCAGACCAGTAGCAGATAAAGTCCATTCTTCAATCTTGTTTCCTTGTCTGAATTGAGCAGTAAATATGCCAGACAACGCAGCGAAGAGCGATCAAGCCCCTGAAGTATTCTCTTTGAATGCCGTTTCAGGATGGTCAGTAGTTGGTGTATGTTGCAGTTATCGACCTTAGAAACATGGTGTAGCAGTGCCTGGATCAGCTGATCCGAGAATGTATAAAGTCGAGGATCACGCAGAAGACAAGTATAATAAGGCTTCGAAACTAAGAGACTATTCTCAGTATCACCTCCAATATTCATCACAGAGGCCAGTTGCGAGGCTAGCTCTGAGATGCAAGCCCATTGTGATTCTTCTTGAGACGCATCAACAAGCAAAGAAGCCATTTTGCCTTCTTGAATTCGAAGTTAGTGGAGTGTTATAGACTTGAAGTGGCAGTTGATGGGAGCTACGTATTCAAAAGACCGTAAGAGGCTTTATCACATGACGGTTTATTTGCACTTGACCGGAATGGCCTCATTCAATTGTCGTCTCCAAATACGCCTATTCTCCAGTTGCTCTATTTGGTTCTCAGAATTCAAAACTTTGACAGTAACAGCGAAGCTTGTAAAGATGGCTATTGACTTGCAGTGTCTACTCCAATATAAGCGAGCAAGCGAAAGTCAGATACCTTATATGACCTAGATCTCACTCAATCAAAGTGCTTATTATATACGCCACAGACAGTGAGCTCCATGCATTCTATTTGATACAAGTGCTAGTTAGAGACTGCTAATATTCATCGAGGCTAGCAGAATTGATTCCATGATGTGCAGGCTCGGAAGTGTGGCACCTTGCCTTCTGGCTCACAAAGACGAAGTCAAATCCTACAATGAACCGAACACATTGAAAATACTGAGCAAAAACATTTGCGCACAACTAGCAGCTTTCATTGGATAAGAAAATGGAAAGCCCTTCTTTCCCAAGACAATGTTGGGTGAAATTAAGCATTTCACGATAAGAAGTCTACTATGGACAACCAGCATAAGCTCCGCTTTGCTTCCGCAGTACCCCAATCACCCAACTTGATTAGCTCGATATCGCGCGATAGTGCGCTAGCAAGCACAATACTTCCACTGGGAAGTATATCAATATCACATTCCCCCGGGTTCTTGGGAAGCTCTCAAATTCACCGTCGAACATATTGGATGGTAATGGATGGAAAATCCCCTGGAATTAGTGGATATTGGTAAGCCGGCTGCTGGAGTATCCGTCCCGAGGCTACTCCGGCTCCGCTCCAGTCAGGGAAGACGACCGGAATGCTCGTTATGCGTTTCCGCTGGGAGCCGTGGTGTCTGCATGAACAGCCGTGGTACAAAGCACGAAGTCACTACTTATAATGGACATATACATTTGCTCATACCTTTGTCACCCTGGTTGACTAACGGACAGGAACTATTCTGGCAAGATTTATTGACCAACTGGACCAGCTTAACCTATCTAGAAAGATGGCAGCAGTCAATCGAGACGAAGAAGGAGGCCACTCCATCCCTCGCACACGCCGCTCGAGCATGATCGAAACATACGAGCGACTCGGAGAAATCAGCCCTTTGACCGGTCACACACACCCCTCCCAACAGGAAACCGCCCATTTTCTGCCTGAAACAACCCCCGAGAGGCGGCTAGTATCGACAACAGATCGGTCCCTCGAAAAGGACGCCGACCTTGCGGACAAGGTTACTACTCATCATTTCGAGGAGATCGGAGACGGAAACCCACCACCTGATGAAACCGTTCTATACCTTGCCTACGGCTCGAACCTATGCTCGGATACATTCCTGGGAAAGCGAGGCATCAAGCCGCTCTCTCAAATCAACGTCGTCGTTCCAGATCTATGGCTCACCTTCGATCTCCCAGGCATACCATACCTTGAGCCCTGTTTTGCAGCAACACGACTTCGAAAACCCCCAGCCCAAGAAAAAGACAATGCTTTAGACGGGAAAGCTACAACGGAGGAGGCCTCGCGTCTCCTCCTTAAGGACCCCGACTATAACCCCAAGATGCCACTCGTCGGCGTCGTCTACGAAGTCACCCTCACAGACTACGCCCGGATAATCGCAACAGAGGGCGGAGGACGCGGATACGAAGACAAAGTCGTCGACTGCTACCCCTTCCCGAAGGCCTACAACCCCACAGACCCTCTCCCTGAGCGTCCAAGCACGAAGCCCTTCAAAGCCCACACGCTTCTATCCCCGGCGGTGGCCGAGGACTTACTGGAAGCCACTACACAAGACCAAGCTCTCACAAGCCGGAAACAATGCGGTTTCGTCTCGCGCTTTAGCCCTCTCATCCGCCCCAACCCATTCTACGCCCAACCTTCGGCTCGCTATCTCAACCTAATTAACATGGGCGCCGCTGAGCATGACTTTCCCGTTGCGTACAGGACATATCTTGCTGGGATTCAGCCTTATCGTATAACTACCCTGCGGCAGAAGGTGGGCAAGGTGCTGTTTGCGGGTATATGGATGACGCCGGTACTTCTGGTCTTGCTTTTGCAGAAAATGTCTGCGGGCTCTGATGGACGCAGTCCCCCTTGGCTGGTCAGATTGGCGGATGCTATTTTCTTTGCCATGTGGCAGTCGTATGATAATGTGTTTCGGGGTGTCTTCGGGGATGGGGAAAGGACAATCGATGATGGTACTGCGCGGTAATAATCTCTTGTCCGATCTAGATAAAAGTATTTAGGTGATGACGTTGTTCTCACTGGTGATTGTATAATTAAAAGACTGGTTTTTAATAATGCAGATACAACCAAATAAATACATTGAGGCATTCTATTAAGCCTTCCCATAGTGAAAGACAGAACGGCTATTGTATACCAAAGCCCATACAACATGTGTAATAGCTAACAAAGGAAATTGTGACATTGGATCTTGAAGCAACATTTTCAACGGAGAATAAATATCTAGGGTACAGATACAAGTGTCCTGAGTAACATCTAACGAAACATGCAGAGACCATCGAATAGAGTGACAGGTTGAAGGAAATGGCGACGTGGGACCAACATAACTTGTTGGACGATGGATTATATCAAGGCTCACTGGCCGCCGGTATTTTTCCTCCACGGTGTGCAATTCATACAGTCCGCTGCAACATTCAGCGCCGGGAAACGGGGGGGCTGTACACAATCTTTCTCGTCTTGATCGGGGACCACTTGTAACGCTTAACCCAGACGCTGATGGCGAAGAGACCGGTCAGGAGGGTGATAGCCTTAACACCCATCTTCTTGCGGTCGTCCATCTCAGGCTCGGCAGCCCAGTTGAGGAACTCGACAACGTCCTTGGCCATCTGGGAGGTAGTGGCGGGGGTGCCATCCTCGTACTCGACAACACCATCGAAAAGAACACGACCCATGGCAATAGCTAGATATCGTTAGAATTAGAACTGAGCATAGGCGAATCAATTGTCAGGTATGAACTGCAAGTGGTGACATACCGGTACCGGGGAAGTAGGGGTTGAAGTTCATGCCAGCACCGACGGTGGCACCAGCCGGGGGCTCATCGGGGTAACCAGTCAGCAGACTGAAGATGTAGTTGCAGCCACCGTGACGGCCCTTGACGATCAAGCTGAGATCCGGGGGCAGAGCACCACCGTTGGCAGCACGAGCAGCCTCCTCGTTCTTGTAGGGAGCAGGGATGTAGTCGGACAGCTTTCCGGGACGCTTCTCGATCTCGCCCTGGTCGTTGGGCTCGGTGTCGTACTCGTTCTCCTCAGCCATGGCCTTCATCTCATCGACGGTGTGCATGACACCGACGAACGAGCGCCAAGGCACACGGGTCAGGGAGTGGCAGCTGGCACAGACTTCACGGTAGACCTGGAAACCACGACGGAGGCTGGAGTGCAAAATATGAGTAAGATGGCCGGTATCGGGGAGAGATGGCGAGGGTATTATTCGCCCGCAATTGGAAGACTCACGCCTGGTGATCGAAGGTCTTGTTCCACTTGGCGTGCTCCCAAGGGTAAGCGGTAGGGTGCAATCTTGAATTCGATGTGCGTCAGTCTTCATGTCAAACAGTCGGAATCGGGAAGATGATGCCTCGGTTGGAGCAACGGAGCAGCCAGCTACGCGTTCACCATTCCCTCGAGCATCACCGATAATCCACTCACCCCTCCTCAGCAGGTGTCATGGCAAAAGCCTCCTGGCCATAGAGATACGCGGCGGATCCGAGAGCGACGGCGGTTGCGGCGGACGCAGTAAGTGTGAGGTGGAAGGGGGAGCTGGCGGATTCGGCACCGGCGGCGGAGGAAGACGCACGCTGGGTGATTCGTTAGTCAAAAACCCATACAGAAGCTTTCCTGGGCGATAGGGAAGCGATTGCCCTCGTCCATTGAACCCAATGGACGGTCGATGTCGGGGAAGTTCGTACCGTGGAGGTCTTGTTCAAGGACTGGCGTGCGACGCCCCGGAAGGGCACGCTGCGCAAAACAGTACGTGCCAGCATACTGACGATGTGAAAGACCCTCCGGACAATGGGGTATTTAAGAAGGCACGATAGCCAAAGAAGGGGAGAGGGGAGGGGGAGGGGACAAGGCTGAGCGCACAGGAGAATGTGCTTTTGGAGGTGAAGTCGAGGTTGGTCGAACGGGTCAAGTTTCTCTTGGGTTTGGAATTGCCTAAACCCTCGTTCTGATTGGCTGCCGCCCCGGTCCTAACTGCCTTCGGTGAAAACCGCGACTTTTCGGAACAACAATTTTCGGCGGCCACCTGATAATTGCTGACCACCAACACCATCTCCCCGTTCTCGTGATAACATGATGGGAGAGGTTCTACGAGAATGCATTCCGAGCTTCAATTTCATACGCATATCAACAAATCCATGGCTTCGTCATTAGCCTCCCAGCTCCTCACCCCCCGTTCCGTTCCTCCGCGCTGACCCCAGCACACACACTCCCCCATCAATCCCATCGCTCTCATTGGCCATTGGCTTGTGTTGTTCCCGAGAGCTGCTCTTCCGCCATAGTCATCGTCGCCTCCGTCTTAGCCTGCCATTCCGACGCTATCCCCATACGCAGCGCCTCAATCGCTGTCCGAATATCGCATCGGGTACCGTTACTATAAAGAATCAACGATAGAGCGGGTAGTCTTCGAACCGTGCGACCGCTAAGCCCCTAAACGCCATCGTCAATACTCCAAAATATTTACCGAATGCTCATCTTCGTCCAGAATCACTAACCTCACTTTCAAAGACAGCATTAGCAAGTAGCGTGGGTATAGCATCGGGGAACGATCTATAGTGCAGCAGCACTTCGTCAAAAGTCGGGATGGTGAGGTGTTCCGCAGCCTGCTCCACATACTGCAAAGCCGTCTGGGGATCGTCCGGAGTAACTTGGACCACGTCGAATGCAACACCCTCAATGAGTCCACTCTGGCTCAACTCCTCTAGGCAGTCCTTGTAGATATTATATATAGGTCTGCTAGATAATTGCGGTATGTATTGTTTGATATCAACTCGATCGAGGAAGGCTTGGTCTTACACGCGAGTGCATACCGTCAGCATTAATGCATAGCACTCGGAGTTCAATAGGAGCTTACCAGCGCCGTAATCAAATTGCTGGTGCAGACGACGATAACATTCGAATGTTCTTTCAGCTTATCCAGCCCTGTGAGTACCGCATCGACCGCTCGAATGGCATCGAAGGGCTCATTGCTGCTCAATGCCCGGTCTCTCCGAGCAACCAAGGTCTCTATCTCATCCATGAACACACAAACGAATGTATCTTCTTCCTCCTGAAGAAACGTCTCAATGTTTCCAAATATTCCATTCACAAGTTTGCTACTCTCGCCGAAATACTTGCTTCCTAAAGAGTATGCGTTGATCTCGAATAGCTTGCTCTGGGGATAATCCTTTCCCAGGCGTATTGCAAGCTTCTGGGCAAGACCGCGACTACATCAGTTAGCCACCAACCACACTCTATGAAACGCATCCACAAACCAAAGGCTTGTCTTCCCAGTTCCTGGTGGCCCCCATATGAGTATCAACCTGTTCCAATTGATAGTCCACTTATCGAGTTTATGAGCAGAAAACGAGACTGCTCAAGTTAGATTAAGCCATGAGATGCAAGTTGTAAGGGAAGACATCACCCATTCTGCTTGTAGCCGAAAGAAGCGTCGACTGAATTGGTTGATCGTAATCCAACCTATGCAAATGATCAGTTACTTTTAGTCTGGGAGAATTAGCAGGTCAGCGTACGTCTCCCATAGTCCCTCCAGATCTATGCTCGGTAAGGCCAGGACTCTTGCCGTAGCGACTCCACCCCCGGCTTCTGTTGAATCCTCAAGTGCACTGGTCTTCTGCAAGCTTTGTCGCTCCGATTTTGTACGCAGTTGGTACACTTGAACGTCCAATTGGACATCCTGAAGTCGATATGCACCGGACTCCAGATTGCCGCCGCTACATTCGGTCACGAGTTTAAACTCCAGGGCTTGGGCATGTGGTTCGCTTAGACCTCCTATTCATCGTCAGAAGGACGTTCGGGGGTTATCATCTTGGTGGAATCCTGACCGAAAGAATTGATAAACTGATCAACAGACATCACGATGAAGTTGTTGTGAAGCCATTCTGTAACCTCATCCCTAACCTGCTGTTCCGTCAATGTATGAATTGCAAGTGTATCAAGCGGCCTACCAAATCAGTGCGAACGATCATGCCATCACTAGCACATTTCACTCGAGCCTCAATATGCAATATGGGGCGTTGAGACTCTTCCACTGGGTTCGAAACGCAACTGTTGACGCTCAAGTCCATTTTGCTTGTGGGTTTGGGAGGGGAGACAATTCAGAGAAGAGAGAATGAGGAACGTAAAGTGAACATCTGTGGACGGTCTGAGAGGTATCTCATACTGGGTACTGTGACACTTCAATACGGATAAAGTCGTCTACATCTGCGGCATTCATTTCACCTGGTTTACTAGAGTATTATCCTGTTCAAACGTGTTAAATAAGCGTATTTGCAAGATCAGCCCACTACGTATTAGCACTGCATTAAACCATATTAATGTGACTACACTTCGTCTCACAATATGTTCTGCAACATGTGCATATACTTCTATTAAGTAGTAGAAGGTTGATTGCAAGGCCCCCGCCATATTTATATGGTAACACGATAGCAGCTAGTATTGAAACACAAGTGAGAATGTCTGGCTCATTGAGCCGATATAATTCTGTTACCTTGATGGTACCAAGTTCATATGAAAGCGCTGATTGATATTGTTAGCACTTAGTACTAATTTCTTGTTCTCCCCGGTTGTTGGATCTTGATAATTTCGATGCAGGGAAATACCACCTGAGTCCTACTGAGAGCACTACTACTCTCCGTCGATGTCCTGAATTTAATATATATCGCCCCACTGGCAGACTCTGGGGAAGATTTGCGAACGGATCAATGTGACTACCCACCTGATGTTTCAGAATTCGATGTTCATCGAAAAAAAAACTAAACCATGTTGCACCTACTCGGACCGTTGTTAGGATCTTGTGAAACAGGTGGTGATACTGCTTACTGGGGTGAGTTGGAATTCCGGAGCAGACCAGCGGAAAGGTAAACAGCCGGCCGATCCAACCGTGGAATTTCTGGGGTGTTCCGCCCACAGTGACGAATGACCAACCATCCGACGCAATTGCTCGGCGCCGTGAATTGTTCCCTTCCTCAGATTTAGGGGCTATGATTCCACCATGCGAACCGATGTTTCATGATCCCCCAATTTTGCCAGCAATTCCGGTGCCGCTCGATTACTCGGGTTTACGTTCGACTAATTGGGGCAGCCCCGCGGAGCGAGCTAGTCGGTGGGAACGCTGGGACCCTGACCGGCTTGTCCGCGCTGAGCTTCTGGAGCCTTTGACGGACGAACTCGACGTCCCTCCCGATGCCGACTGTGATATTACAAGATGCAGAAAGCGAGGACTGGGCCAGGTGCCGGCGTGAAGCCGCGCAAGGATGTTCTGGCTTCACTCAAGATGGCCTCGATGGAGGAAATCTCCAGGGCCATTCTTCCAGCAGGTACGTCTCAACTGTGAATTCCGAATCAGAAAGGACGAACCGGGAGATGGATCGCATTCACTGCAGGACATTCTAACAATGACTAGAGATCATGTCATCAATCCTTGATTACCTTTCCCCTGTCGATCTCATACGAGTAGCCCGGTCTTCCAAACTCCTGCGCGAGATGGCATACGATGACACGCGATGGGTGCAGAAACTGAAACGAATGGGTTGTTGGGACGAGGTGGAGGCAAGAAAGCATACGGAAGAAGTGTTCGGAACTATCGCAGACGTGCGAACCGTTGAGCAGCAAGAGGTTGAGGATGCGCAAGCACCGCACGGCGAACCTGCACCCAACGTCTCACGGAGTTCCCGGGCCGATTTACAATCGATATCTGACGGATTCGACCAGATCAATCTAACCACTTCGGCCAATGCTGATATATCGGATGGATCAGAAAATGATCCCGTCATTGGCGCGCTGAAACAAGTCAAGTCGGTTCGTGGAGAGGCCCGCCAGGAGTACGGAAAGGTACATGCAGCGCTGGCACCATACTACAACGATATCGTTACGAACGGTCCTTCTCCGGATAGCTTGCTTTTCAAAAACTACACCGATCCACAGCACCAAGCGCAGATACTGTCGCAACTACAATCCTTTTCCGAATGCGATGTAGACGAAGGCTGGCGTGGACGGCTTGAACAATTGCAGTCTGCTGTGTCGATGTTCGAAATATCGGCTATCAAGGAGTTTAGGCATGGATACGAGACAGAGGATATTGATGACAGGATGCGGAAATATGCTCATGTTTTGTACACGTTGAACGGGGGAGAGGCAGCTCTTGAACTCTTCATACAGCACAACCATCTCGTTACCAGAAGATCAGATCTCGGCAAAGTCTCGGACTGCATTGATCCTTTCTCGCAACGAGTTAAACTTGAACATACACAGGCCTTCTTCACTCGGCTGAGTGTGGCTTATAATGAGGAAGTATCGATCATCAATCGTGCTTTTCCCCCGTCGATGAAAATATCGACACCGTTTATCGAAAAGGTTGGGCAGGATGTGCTCTATCCATTTCTGACTGCCATATTTGATGAGCTACATGGTTCCAATACTGAGTCCTACTTGACTGCCGTCTCGGGAACATTTGCTCAATGCCTTAATTTGTCGGATACATTGTTGCCAATCCAGAATCTGGACGACAGCTTTGATGAATTCATGGACCATGTCATTGCTAAAGCCTATGTGCCCCACATGGACTTATATCTCGCGGAGGAATTAGATCACTTCCGGAAATTGTCTGAAGCGGCTGTGGGGGACTGGGATAGACAGCTATCGGAGCAGGCAGCCTCGACGGAGTCATTCTTGATGTCGAACATCAATAGGCAGGCTGATAAGCGTGACTTCTTGACTTCTTTCAAGAAGGTTATTATGGCTCCCGTCAATATTCTTCCAAGCTTTTCAGGAAACAAGGCGAACGAGCAAAAGGCACCATCGGAGCCCACGACCAGCGACTCTTCGTCACTGAAGAGTCCCAATCGGTTCTCAACCATCGCGTCGCCCACGACGCCTCCTATTATGGAGGCGCCAACCACAGAGCTCGCAGCAAAAGCTGCGATCATGAAGTCTAAACTAGAGGGTATTCGATCTCTTTTCAGCATAGAAGTCGCTCTTAGTCTGGTTCATGCGGCAAAATCAAGCTTGGAGCGAGCCGCGCAGTTTGTGAAGATAAAAGGCGAATATGGAGCTGCTGCAAAACAACAGTGCGAGGCGGTTTTCGTCGCCCTCGTGCGCATTCTAGGAAACCGCCACTTGATCGGTGGGTTTAACAAGGCCGTTGACCACTTGTCAAACTACCGGCCGCGCGAGCAAGGCGAACGCGACCAGTCTGGCGTTGAGCCGCTGGTCACCTTCCTGGAGCTGGTGAACGTTGGTGATTTGATTCTCCAGATGATCGATGTCTTCTACGAACAGGAACTCATCGGTACCAAACTGACGGACCGCAATGATTTTCTTGATCCGGCCGTCAAGGAAAAGAAAAAGTTCGAGCAGAGCCTGGATGAACGAGTTGCTGCTGGGCTTAATAAAGGAATCGATGTTCTTATGGAAGAAGTGGACTACATTCTAGCGACGAGACAATTGGCGACCGACTTCAATCCTAGTGTCTCTACTGACCCCTATCGTAAAACGATGGATGTCAGTATCACCGAGGCTGCGGCGGCCGTGGTGGATGTGGTCTCTTCTCATACACAGATGTTGGTGGGCAGCACAGACAAGAGTATGCTGGACGTCTTCAACCAAGAGGTCGGGCTCCGTCTGTTTGCTGCTCTATGCAAGCACCTGAAGCGACAGCGGATCAGCATTGAGGGGTCGTTGAAGCTCATCAGGTAGGATATTCTGTGTCTCTGAGATTAATGGCGAAGCTGACTTCTTCTAGCGATATGAATCACTACTTCAAATTCATCCAGACGTTCAGGAACAACGACCTTCTCCTCTACTTCAAGGCGTTCCGGGAACTATCGCAGATCTATTTGATCGACCCCTCTGATGCCAAGGAGCTTGCTACTATCATCGCCGATGCGGACCGGTTCAATGGGATTTGGCGAGTGGAGGAAGTGTACGAGTTCGCCGAGCGACGGGCGGATTGGTACCAAGTGAAACGCGACGTCGAACGAGCCATGTATGGAATTGGGTGCAACGTTATGTGAAGAATATGTCCAGCATTACGATTATACGGTGTATATAGAGCTACGAATACCCCAGGGCTTTGCCATTTTCATGGTTAGAGAATAGACAGATGATTATATGATTCAGTAGCAGAGGAAGAGCCACATGATGAGACTACTACCCAACCACATATACCCAAAATCCATACAAAATCAAGCTGACATGACCAACATACAACAATTCCAACCCAGCCAGCCAGCCACGAAGACTGCAACAATCTACACAGTACTAGTAATCTCTTCTGCATTAAGTTATTACTAATAACCAACCAGTTGCATCATTCATACAACGACTTTACCCACCCGACGGATCGCATCTCCAGGAAACTTTAAATCTATCCGGCTAATTCCTGACATCAGTATCCTACCCCAGAAACCAGCCCATAAGCTCCAAGCAATGACGGTAACAAGCCAGGAGAGACATAAAGAACAGTCCACCCCGAGCCAAAGGGAAGAAGAAGCAATGTGTTTCAACCTGGAACCAAGCCATTGGCGCCACAACCACAACCACTCACCACTGCATTGTTTCAGTCTGACAATTGCTGACTGACTGCGATCCATGATCACTTATACAATCTACAATTCCGTCATGAGAAATATTATCTCACATACTATTAACGTTTTATACTCGCATAACACTATATGAAATCATCACCATGCTCCATCGTACAATCTCAAGGATACTCACCACCACAACTACTACCACAACCATACTCATAATCCTCCTAAGCGCCCTCCTCATCACCCTCACCACAGCCCAACAACAACAACCAAAAGCAACAGTAATAGTCACCATCATAACAACCGCAACCGCAACCGCAACAGCACCACAAACCACCACCACCACCTCCTCCTCCTCCTCCCAAGAACCCCCCTCCTACACCTCCCCGACTCTCTTCCAATCCTCCATCCTAAACGTCAGCAACACCTACCGCGAAGCCCACAACGCAAGCAACCTGATCTGGAACACGACATTAACTCAATATGCCCTGAACTGGGCACAGGAATGTAAATGGCAGCATTCGGTATACTCTTTCCCCCAAACCCCCTCTACCTTTTCCCCCAAGATCAAATAAATACCGGCTCACAAAAATATAATAAAAAAGCTAACAAGTAATGTACATACAGAACGGCCCGTACGGCGAAAACCTCGCCTTCGGGTACCCCAACGTCTCGTCCGCCGTAGCCGCCTGGGGCGACGAAGTACAGAAATACGATTTCCAGGAGCCGACGGGGTTCACGGAGGAGACGGGACATTTTACGCAGTTGGTGTGGAGGGAGACGAGGGAGGTGGGGTGTGCGGCTGTTGATTGTGGGTATAATTATACTAATACTACTAATGATAATGATAATGATAATGGGAATGGGAATGGGAAGAGAAGTGGGGGAGGGGGAGGAGGAGGTGGTGGTGGTGGTGGGATCAATGGAACGGAGAGACCGCAGGGATGGTATGTCGTTTGTGAATACTCGCCTAGGGGCAATATCATTGGGGGGAATAAGAAGTTGGGGGATAAGGAGTTCTTTAAGATTAATGTGCAGCCGTCGAGTACTTATTCCGGGCCGTATAATACGGGGTCCGCTGGGAATGGGGCTCAGAGGGTTGAATGTATAATGGGAGTATGGTGGGTTGTGCTGGGGTGGTGGTTGGTGTTGTTGACGTTTGGATAGTTTAATTTAGAATAAATTGGTTGAGATAGTATGAAGTGGTATAAACTGAACTTGAATGATTGCAGTAGTCATCATTGTCTGTCATCTCTCATTGCTACCAACATCACGCACATCAAAGTTTTCCCCTCACGCTCGGGAAAGAAATATGCAAACACAGATTCTATTCACTTTTTTTGAAATGTTCCAGACACAGGTGCCCCCACGCGCGCGCTGGAACCAATCCAAATGGATCACAGATGAAGTCTCACAGGGAAGAAGAGAGGATGAAGTGTGAGGGCTTCAGAGAGGATAGGTAAAGAAAAAAGGGCGAGGATATCGACAGACAAGATGCGAGATAAGGATAAAAGGAAATGAAAAAGAAAAGGAAATGGATGGAATAGAACACATTAGATACGAAGCTGGCTTCCCAATCAACCAATGACTTCCTCGTTCTCCTCGATGATCTCTTCCACAATCTCCTCCACCACTGTCTCGCCTTGGTCCTCCGACACAGCAGGGGCATCCTTGGCCTGCTTGGAAGAGTCGACGTCTTCCGGCACACCGTAGGCGTCCTTCTCCTCCGCAAGCATCTCCTTCTCCCTCCGGATCCAGGCAGTCCATTCGTTGAGCACGCGCTTGCGCGTCTCCACAACGGCTGTGTTGGCAATGTCGACAGCGTACTTGTCCTCCTCCTCGAACTCCTTCGAGTACTCGCGGAGGTTCTTGCGCACTTGCTTCTGCTCCTCCTTGCTGAGAAGAGTGGGGGGACGAGGGCGCCAGATGAACTGCTTGAACTTGTCGGTGGGGTGTTCGGCGAGGGTCTGACCGGCGAAGGTGTGAATGTTGTAGCCGTTTTCCATCTACACAAAACATGTCAGTAACGCAGTCGTGATAAGATACTAAGAAGAAAGAACATACCGAGTGGGTCCACACGCTAGCACTGCTGACAACGTAGCGACCCGTAGGATCCCAGTCAATATCCGTAACACCGTAGTGCTCAACGGTCTTCATTAATTGCAGGTTGGCGGCCAGATCCTTCTCGCCCTCGGGCTTCTCACCCTCAAAGTCCATATCCCAGAAGTCAATGTCGAAGTTGGTCTGGGAGTGAACGGTAGCGACGACGACAAAACGTCCCTTGGGAGACCAGTAGATGGCGTTGCTGGTCTTCTTCTCAATGGTGCGGACAACCTTGAAGTTGCCGGCCGAGACACCCTTCTTTTCGGGGGCGAAGAAAGAGACGGAGGTCTTGGGGAGAACGGCGGTGCCGCTGGGGGCCTCGCCGGTGGTGATGGCGACGAAACGTCCTCCGTTGGGCTCCCAAGCAAAGTTGATGACTGTATCCTTGAGACTGTCGACGACTTCGACGGGGACACCCTTCTCGCGCACACGGAAAATCTCCAGGTTGGTGGCCATGGACTTCTTGGACTTGGAGTGACGGTCGACCTTGACACAGACGTAGGTACCTTGCGACTGCCAGTGCAGCTTGACATCCGACACGTTGAACAGGTTACGCGTACGGACGATCTCCTTCGAGGGAACGCTCATCAAAGCGACACGGGCCGGGTTGCTGCCGATTTCGGGAGTCCAGAAGCAGAGCAGCTGTTCGTACTGCTTGACACCCTCGCGGACGACGGTGGCGGGGGACCACTCGAAGTCCATAACACCATCGATCTTGACGGAAGTCTTGCCCAGCAAGTTCATCCGGGGGAGCTCGTAGATCGAGATCGACTGGTGCTGCAGCATTCTCGCGACGTACTTCTCGTCAGCGGACCACTTGAAAGCGGGCCACTGGACCTTCTTCTTGGGCTCGCCCTCAGCACTAGGGCCGGCAGTCAGATCGTGAGAGACGAAGGAACGAAGAGGCTTGCCAGTGACGATATCCCAGATGATGATGTTCTTTCCGTCTTCCTCGTAGGTCAGGACAGGGTGGCCCTCCTCTACCTGGATGGGGCGGGCGGACCAGGTGGTCAGGTAGCTCTCACCGGGCGAGAATTCGACCAGCTGAACGAAAGGATGGGGGAACTGCTTCTGCTTCGAGAAGGCGGGACCGCCCCAAAGCTGGACACCCTGGGGGTGGACGGAGGCGAGGTAGGTACCCTTGGGGGACCACTGGACGAAAAGCTGAGTCCAGTGCGCGCGGTCGACGACGTTCTCCGGGGGGTTGCTCTTGTTGTTCCAGAACACACCGACCTTGTCGCCACGGTAAAGGGCGAACTGGTCACGGGCGTTGGCGTCGCCCAGCCATGAGCGGAGGTGCTCCTTCTCCTTGAAGGGTTCGATGGTGGGGGGCTTGTATTCCTCGTCGATGCGTCCTTCCCGGCCATAACGATCGATATCCATCAACTTGTTGACGGCGAGAGTGTGCTTCTTATCGAGGGGTACACCGTGCAGTTGCTTGACGGCAGCGACGGCCTGTTCGGGGGTCTCGTACTCAACGAAGGCGAAACTGAAACAACGTGTTAATGTTTCCACAACCTTTCCCAATCGCAATCAGATTTCCTAAGTTGAAACATACCCTTCGGACATGTTCTTGTCGTTGATGGGCATGAAGACGGCATCCTCCGAAGTGTGGCCGACCGTGTTGAGCTTCCTCAACAAGAACTTGATGAGCTTTTGCCGGCTCTCCTCGGGGACGACCGGAAGTCCATCGATCACAACAAATGTGTCCAAACCCTCCTCAAGCTTCACTTCATATTGCTCCTTGAGATCTGGATGGAGAAAATCGGGCGGAGTCAGCGGCGAGGGGCACGGGGGAAACGGGGTGAGAAGAGGATGATGGGACAACAACGCGAGGCGCACTCACCGGAGAAGTCAACCTCCTCCTCCTCCTCTTCGTGGAGATCCTGCTCAGACAGGGTGTCAAAACTGGGCGCCATGGTTGCAGTCGCAGCGAACGGCGATATGGGGGGGTGAGGGTGGAGAGGGTATGATCTTGAAGATGAAAGATGCTGTTCTGGATTTTCTGCTGGTCGACCCCGATTTGGCTGATTTTAGGGCAAAAGAACAAATCCCAAACCACAAGCGCCTTCTGTGTGCGAAGGCAGCTGAGTCAGGGCTGAGTCATCTCCCCATTGTCTCTGCTTGCTTTCACTTTCCGTGCGGTAAAGTGACGGTAAATGACCATTCCTCATGATACCACTAGTAAACTGCCTATTCTTTCTCCAGCTCCACCACGTGATGGTGCTTATCTAAGCCACCCGCCCCCAGCTTCTCGCCCGGCTGATTATGGTCTTCTGTAACCGACTTGTACAATCGGCTTGGACCAGCCATAACATTTCGCGATCCTCACGCATCGTCCCGCTTTCCGTTGCTGCTGCGGGTGATAGCTGCTGGTCGTTGTGGGCCGGCCGTCACGATCTCCTCATTTACTCCCCTTTGTTTTGTCTGATCCATCTCTCTCTCCCTGTCCTACTTCCTCCTGGGGCCTTTACGTACCTCCTCTCTCTTATGCCCCGCCGGTCCTAAGCGCCAGCGCTACGCCCAGATCTAGACGGTCTTCCTCAGTGCACGACCACCGTGAGCTGAATCTCGCTGCTGATAGCCTTGCGAACTCTTACATTGAGTCCGGTCAGCAATTGACAACGTTAAATTCCATTCAGTCGTGTCGTTTCCTGCAGAGGTGCTGCAAAGCAAAGCTACCCGGTCCACCATGTCGCGTAAGTTCGGAAGTCTGATGTTCCCGGTCGATTGCTCCACGCCGAGATCGCTCTCAACTGACATCATGGCTTTTTCTGTTTCCCATGCAATAGTATCCCCAGAAGCCCGCGATCAATACATTCCGATCATCGATTCAATTCTGGCCAAAAGCGATTTGACCACCATCTCCTCAAAAACCATTCGCAACGGCCTTCAGGATGAGATCGGCTATGATCTTACCCCGCATAAGGTCTGCGCCCCCGATCTTTGATTATTGTCGCATATTGCTCTTTGCTCTTTGGATTCACGGCGGTAGACCTCAAATACAATACTAATGTTGATTTCATTCATACAGCTTGCCATCAAGCAGCTTATCATGGAGCGCTTCGACGTCTGTGCGGCACAAAAGGGCATTCAAACCGCATCGGAGACACCTGCGACATCTGCTTCCACCAATGGCCATGGGAAAGACCACGACTCGGTGACTCCTGTTGAGCCATCCTCTCCGGCTCAATCTTCCATGTCGCAGAAACGCCAAGCGGAGAGTGAAGAGTGCTCGGACACTTCAAGCAAGACTCCTCCTATCAAGAAGAAGAAGCCCGACAATGATATCGATGCGGATGCCTTGTTCGCAGCCAAACTCCAGGCCGAGGAAAACATGCGTGCGCGCCAAACCCGCGGGGCCAGTACACGCAGAAGCCAGCCCGTGAAGAAGAAGCAGCCTACCAAAGCGAAGACGTCCAAGAAGGTGAAGGCTGAGGATGATTCGGAACTTGAATCGGGCTCGGACTCAGGAAAGAAGGTCAACAGATCTGGCGGGTTTCACGTATGCTGCAAACACTTCCTAAGGGAGGTGACTGGTGCTGACGGCTGTCTAGAAACCCCTGACTCTTTCCCCGGCGCTTTCGGCTTTGTTGGACGGCGAGGTGACGGTATGGCTGCTATTCCCAATTCCGGTTAGGTAAGATATACTGACATTCGAACAGCTCTCGCGACCGCAGACAGTGAAGCGGCTTTGGCAATACATCCACGAGCATGATCTTCAGGATCCCAATGACCGGCGACAAATTCGCTGTGACGACGCGATGCGTGCCGTGTTCAAGCAAGATCGCATACACATGTTCACGATGACTAAAATCCTCAGCCAGAATTTGTATAGTCCCGATGAATAACCTTTGGTAACTAGACGCGAATTTTTGCCTTCCGGACAAGGCAATCGCAGCGACCAAGTCGTTGCCTTAACGATTCCCCGACTTTTGCTTACTACACAGCATTTGGAACCCAGGCGCTAACTCTCTTTCACTTTGCTCCAAGACTTTATTATTTGCTTCTCATATTGATACTTTTTTTTCGCACTTGTTGCTACTCTCATTGGCGAATGATTGCCTTATCTTTTCTTG